TTGAGGGGAGACTGAGAAAGATGGAATAAATAATGTATACTGCACTGAAACAGATGAGGGAGAAAACTGTTTAAAAGGGATACGTGATTAGGTATTTTTGCTATGACAGGAGTCCTGAGCAAAGGCTGCATAGTGGAGTGGACCTGGGGGAGGGTTTGTAAAACAATGAAAGAATTTTTCTTTTACTTTTCCAAGAGAGTAGTGTACTGGGTGGGGGATGGTTGGGAGGGGAGAAAAGTGCAACAATGAATGGATGGAAACCCAAAGTCTCTGTAAAATTTCATTGAAGTTAATAATAAAAAAAAATAAAAATACATGCCTGAACAAATTTATTGTTGTTGAGATGGTTGTTGTTATGCGCCATTAAGTTTCCGGCGATCCTACCTATGCACAGCACTTATGAAACCTGCTCTGTCCTGAGCAAGTCTCACTAAGTCTGACACACCAACTCCTATTCATCTATCAGTTACTCTATCAATTCATCTCATTTGGGGTCTTTTTTTTCTGTGCCATCCCTTTACCCTGTGAGCATGATATCCTTCTCTAAGGACTGGTCTCTTGTTAATGTCATGCCTAGGGTATGTGTTGCAGAGATTCAAAATCCTAGCCTCCAAAGAGACACTTAACTTCATCCTCTTCAACATGGTATGTTCAAGACTCTTCTTCAGCACCATAACACAAAGGCATCAATTATTTTTCTATCATCCTTATTTTTGTGAAGTCTATGGCCTGAATCAGGCAACTCTTGGTCTCTAGACTGACATTGTTGCTTTTCAGTACTCTGGAGAGGTCCCTGACAGCAGATTTTTCCAGTGTAATTTGTCTTTTGATTTCCTAACTATTGCCAAGAGAGTTGATTGTGGAGCCAAGCAAGCTGTAATTTTTAACAACTTCTATCTCTTCTCCATCCATAATGATGCAGCTAATTGGACCATGGTGAGAATCTTTGTCTTCTTTATGCTGAGCTTCAAACCAAATTGAAGACTACAGTCCTTGACCTTCTACAACAAGTGCTTCAGGTCCTCTTTAGTTTCAACAAGGAAAGTTATATCATCTGCATAACATAGGTTGTTGGTGAATCTTCCTCTAGTCCTGACACTGCATTCCTCCTCATAAAGCCTAGTTTCCAGATTCATCTGTTCTGCATATAGATTGAAAAGATATGGGGACAGGACACATGCCTGACTTACTTCTTTCCTGATTTTGAACCATACAGTCTCTCCTTGCTTTGTTCTAAGGATGTGCAAGTATAGGTTTTGCATAAGCACATTCAAGTGTCCTGGCACAAGCCAAGGAGGCTATGCAAAAAAATTGTAAAGCAGTTTGTTTTGGAACAAAATCACTAGCCTATACCATTAAGTTGTAAGACAGCCACTGGATCAATTGACTGTAAGAGCTCCTTATTATTCCAATTACTAGAAAATATGATTTCAAAGAATGTAAAAATTATTTTAAAAAATCATTAATATGTTGTTGTTGTTGTTGTTATGTGCCGTAGAGTCGCCTGCGACTCATAGCGACCCTATGT